CAAGGGGCCAACGGCCAGAAAACGCGCGACGGCAACCCCCTAAAGTGAACAGGACCCCGAAAGCATCACATAAGAGAGAGGACCACCTTGATAAGGCAATTTGTGGCGGCTCCTCTTCTGCCTGGGTTTATGTTTTGTGTGGTCGATTGTCGGGAATCAACAAGCCTCTGTCATCCATGTACACATAGGTAATAGCTTATAACTACTTATATATATATCTTTGATCCCTAAGATCACATTGTTCAGTGCTGAAAGATCCCAAACACTTCTCAGTCGATGATATTTCTGCACTGACTCAGACATACAGGAACACCTCTCTACTTCCTGATGCATAAGACTGGTTACAAACAGTGCTTATAATATAGTAGTTCTCTTGACAGAGCTGTTGGTGGGTGCATATTTGCCAAAGGTCCGTTGTGACCATGACCGCAGGGCTTGATGAATACATATTTCTTCAAATTTGCTGATGTATAGAAAGCACAAGATACTTTGACAGGCTACAGACTCCACATGATACAATATACAACTGCAAATTCAAGACTACCAGCAATCCTTGCACCATTAGAGCATATTTGCAAGTCCCAAAGTACGACTTTTGATCCAAAATTTGGAGCTGCTGATCCAGAGGATTTAGCCGAGGATTGCCTACCTAAACCGGTAGCCCTTGCTCCACCCGTGCCGCGAAGTCGTCTGTAAAACTCATATTTCTCACTCACTCGACTTCATTCTTGTTCAACAAGCATCTACAGATACCTACGATACGCCTTGTACAACTTTGGCGGTAGTTAGACACGATTTAGAGGAAACCGAAAATCAGCCGTACTTCGCTGAGAGAGCATGCCGCGCTGATCCGTGAGTCCTTCAGAAAAGTGGAGCGCCTCTCTCCGCAAACTTTTGGGCCTTGCAAATACGCTCTATTCAACGAGGACTGTTAGAAAAGTCTCGCATCGCCGGTTTTCAGACCCACTGCGTCATTTGTCCGAATCAGGCAAGTGGTCTACAGCTCGCGTCCTCAGACTTTGCTTGATGCATTTATCAAAGGTATAGTGTATGTCCTACCACTTCAAAAAGTATGTAGACCTGTGCTAGAAGGCTACTCAACGGTACAGAAAAAGATTCAGAATTTAATACAGCTCTGGGAAGTCGCAAATAGAAAGTGCACGCAAACCGTGCAAGAAAGTGAAAATCGGGACCCCGTAAACTTGGAAAGGGACAACGACAATAGGGTTGACATCGTCAGTAATACCCGTGTTGGCCCCTTGCCGTGGATAGGACTCCAGATGATCCCACCGCATCCGTGCCCTCTGGCACCACCAGTGCAACATCTCCCAGCCTCGACGCTGCTGGGCCAAGTTCTGGCATCAGTGAGGATGCTGAGCCTGGACAAGATGGTCCGATTGTGACCGACCATGCCACGATGTGTCCAGATGCCCTCTGGCAAGGCTTGAGCGATGGTAGCTCATCCAACCCCAATGACTCAGAAGACAATGAGGAGCAAGCTGCGAAGGGGAGGATGCCCGATGGGAAGAAGACGATTATCTATGACGGCCTCCGGGAGATTGAAGATATGTACGCGGCAGTTGCACGACGCGCTGGGGTCACTACGCAACAAGTCCTTGCTATCCATAAGGCAACACAAACCTCAGTGAATGCCGGCAAGGGCATCTGGCAGATATACGAAGCCTACTTCAGTGAGCATGCGAAGGAGGAGTGTCAGCGCCTGCGGGATCTGGGTTCAAATCCTGGTACGTGATGTGTTTCCCACAGATCTGTATTGTATCAACTGCTAACCCAAACATCACAGAGGAGGAGGTCGCAGTCAGTCATGACAGAGACACCGTGGCGAGGTGCTGGGAGAAATTTAAGAGTGCGAACCCCACCACCCACGTCAAGTACTTGCAGAAGTGGTATGAATTGGTGGTATTGACGAACCCAGATATGTCCCTCGGGATGCGCAAGCGTACCTTCAAAACGTTCACTCAGAAACTTGTGCAGATGGTACGTTATCTGCTAATGACAGTGCCATAGTAGGCTGACAACCCTCACAGGTGGAGTCGTACCAACGGCTTCATGGATTCCAAGTTGCCTTGGTTGCATCCGGGATCAATGTTAACCAGGATGAAGGCCTCGGGCTCTTTCACGAAACCAAATACGCATCGGGAGTACGTCAAAATGTTTCTCAGTCTGGATATGCTTCTAACATAATCTGTAGCTCTTTGCAAAGCGGTGTCGCATGGAAGGTGATGAGCTCATCGGGTATCTCAAGAGTCACACTTAGTACGTGTTGCAGCTCATTATTGTTTGTCAGTCTTTAACGTCTGACACCATTAGCCACCTGCGCATGAAGGAAGGGGTGGATCTGGCATGGGCGGATGAGGCGGGCACGGATGCTCAGGCAGACGCAACATCAGCACCTGCACCCGCCGCTTTGACTTCCTCGGGTGCGGCAGACGTCATTGATGTCTCAAAGATGCCAGCGATCCATGAGATGGGGGACACAGCAATGCTCAATCATATCAAGGCAGTAATCAGGCACCGCATCCGTAAGCCCACTTTATCCGCTGTGCTCCGATGACATGATTGATTGATTGTGTGACAGAGGAAGCTGGCCATACCCTGCAGGGAGTAACGTTCCCTTGGAAGGGAATGCCGGCCATCCTTGCACAAAATGGCATCGTCTGTGAAAATTGGCCCGAAGGCGTTCGATACCCTGGAGAGCAGGCCGATAAAGGTATAAACTGCCTGTTTCTTGAAGAACGCCGGACTCTGCTCCGTGCCCTCTATCATGAGCAGTCCAAGCTCGTATTCCATCCCAAAAATGATGACATAGCGAGCCGTATGTGTCTCTCCTCAACCCGTCATATTTGCATGCTCAATATGTCTACAGGATGGTGTTCAGGAGAGACGGTCGTAGTAATCATCGGTGTTCCACCAGCTCCGAAGTCAAATCACAAAGCAGGCCTCCGGGTGATGGTCAAGAATGGCATTGTCACGTATGACCACCGAGGCCGCCAGCATCCTGTAGAAGACTCTGCCCAGACAGAAGACCGATCCAGAAATAAGGCGAGGCGCGATGTGCAGACCATAGAGGTCTCATCTGGAGATTCTGATGGCTCAGGCAAGCTGCGCTCGCATCCTCGCCGCAAGAAGCGGGTGTTCATCGAGGATGCCATGGACATCGAGGATGAAGATGAAGAGGAGGTACGGACATCTGAAACCTCCGAAGTAGAGCTTGTACCCCCAGCGGCGAAGAGGCACTGTCCCCCTGCACCACGCGTAGCTCAGGCGAGTAGGAAACCAGTCTCGAAGGGCAAGGGCCGAGCGGTCGATATCCCTCATACCATCAGGCGTGCAGCAGGCAAGTCGAAGAAGCTATCGGCTACTGCAGGAGCTGGGATGCTCACAGCCGTGCCAGAGGGTATCCAGGAGAGCGGCCACGAAAACTCAGAGCTCGAGATGGTCCCCATTGTCACCCCTTCGGGAGAGCGGATGGTGCCGCTTTCGAAGCACAAGGCCCAGGATAGTAGTTCGACTGGAACCCGTTCGAGGGTAGGCGCTTTGGTACCTGTGGTAGAGCTGCCTGCCCGTACAAAAGGCATACCCGCATCATCCGCCACTGTAAAGCCAACCCCCAAACCCCGCGCGGCATACAGTTCACATCAGGACAAAGCTGGAGGGATCGTTCAGAGCCCATTCGATGCAATACCTGCGACGCGTAACCCCTTTGCGGTGTCGTCCCATGCATCATCCTCAATTCAGGCTATGGCAGCGCCGATGGCAGAACATCTCCGCAACGACTCAGGGTTAACTCTCGGTTCCGGCACTGTAGGTTCTGGTGGTGCGGCACACAGCGCTGGAGGCCCCAGCAGGCTCTACAGTGGCCTAGCTGGTGCACCTGCCGCTCCGGGTGCACCGAATATGGTGCAAATCCCCGCGGAGCTATTGCGGATTTTCGTGTCCAGCATGACTGCAGCGTCGGGATTGGCTCCCGACCCCTCTCATCAAGTAGGACTCCAGGGCATGCATACTCCGGCCTCCATCGGTGATCTCGCCTACGATTCCGATATACAGCAATTTCGTGGGTCTGCGGGTCTCGGAGGTCTGGATCACTCTGGTGCAGGCACAAACAGCCATGCCGACGAACTCTTTGATAATCCCAGCTACCTGCCACGCCATCAGGATGACGCATAGTGCGTATCTATATGTTGTGATATGATTCTTGGTATACCACCTTTCTCTTGTTTTCTTATGACGGACCCTAGGCCCCCTTTTGTTTGAGTACTCCGGCGCTGAGTGCCAACATGAACAGTCCATGATGCCCCCTAAGTTCCAGTATCTATAGTGATGTACCTCCGCCCAGTGGTGGATGCCATTGCTCATCTAGTGCAGTCCCCTTGTATAAAAGAGCTACATAGCTATGTATCTTGATGCACCATGTTGATCTCTTGAATATTGTGTGCACCTGAGTTACCTATTGGCATGTCCGGTGTCATGTTTGTTATATGTTCGCCACTGGCTAACCCTAACCCCAAGGGCATGAAAGCGATTCTATTGCCGACGACATTTAACTACGCTGGCACTTCACATAGCGTAAATGTACAAGGTCGCTAGCAAGACACATACGTTGGCATAGCGGGTGTTCACCAGTCCTGAAGCAATGTACCCCATGTGAGATCACCACAGATGTTAACCGGATGTCATATACGCACGTTATCTCGCATCCTCCGTCGAACAGGGAGAAGTGGGAGCCTATAGACTTGAGTGATGTAAGGCCCACTGAGATGCATTACGGCTCCAGATACCTACCCAGGCAAACAACTGATGGCCACACCAGATGACGCGATGTATCAGGGAGGCACCGGAGAGGGAGCGCGGAGGCGGGAGCGGAGAGGGATCGACGCGATCGTCAGATGAGTGCGGGAGGCTGCCTTACACGTCGCCCGAGCACTGCGGGAGGCCCCGCAGATATGGCTGGAACAGTACTAAATTAGGCAGTATCTATATTTGTATTCAATAGGGAGCATCGGCCCAGATGCCGTCTGTCTAGCCCAATACTTCCTACACATTTTTAGACTACCTAGGTTATGATGTCATCAAATCGGTCCTGCCTAAGGTGGTCCAGTCCACAAGGTGATCCTGGGCCAAAGGCAGTGTATGATAAGAGCTGTCCTTGGCCTCACAATTCTGGGGTCCTTGGACCACATGAGATCCTACCTTATATCATCAGCCTTAGGTGGAATATAGGTGTCTATTGGTCTACTTTTATGATTTTGTTTAGTGATATACTGGTGCTGGTACTATCTGTACCTACCTTTATGGTGTCTAATATGGTCAGGGACACAGGGACAATAGAAGGACTCATAGAACCCTTTGGCTAAGGCAGTAGATACCTATCATACT